TTAGGCATAAAATAAATTATATTATATATGATAAAATAATTTTTTTTATTAATTTTAGACATAAAAAATATATTATTTATGGCATATTATATTATACAATATTTTTTTTGAGTGAATAATATTATATAATAAGAATACTATTATATATTATTATATTAATATCATTTATAAATAGAATGCAGAGAAGGAGAACAGAGAGGAAGAGAAGACGAAGTCAAAGAAGAAGAGAGAGAGAGAGAGAGACACACACACACACAAGATATTTCATATTCAAAATACGTGATTATCAAACTACGTGATTAACTTTTTACCTATTAAACTACGTGATTATCATTCAAAATAACAATTTTATTAATTTAAGTCTAAATATTTCATATTCACAAGATATATATAACATCTAAATGTCTAAATATATGTTTTTAAGTAATTTAAAAAAAAAAATGACTGAATCTTTATGACAGTGTTTTAAAAGGCTCTAGGTGCACCGAGGCGATAAGGTGTCCTGGAGCCTAAGCGCGAGGTGCGAGGCGAGGCGCACATAATAAAAGCAATGCAAAATTATAAAATAGGCAAAATTTTTAACATAACAAATGTATGTAGTATATTAAAAAGTATATTATCCAACAAAAGGTATAAAGTATGACATTCACATCCACCAAAAACCTTATGTACTAAAATCATCATCCACATAATTCACTGCAACTAAGCTTCTAACTTGTGGTTCAAGAAGGAAATTAAAATATATAAGTCCTATAGTTGCATAATTGTACTCAAAACTTAATAGACATCATCATCAACATGAAGAACTTCATCTCCTCCATCATCATCATCATTGGATTTGTATCCATCCACATCCTCCTCTTCAGCCTCATCTTCATCTTCCCATTCATCTTCTTCATCTACAAGTTGTTGGTGTGTTGTCCTAGTTGTGCTTGATCTAGTTCTTTGGTTACTCTCCTCAACTCTAGCAGCTACAACAACATCATCCCATTCCAAAGAATCATCATCAAACACAAGCTCATTCTCCATCCTCCCAATCAACCATTCATTGCTCTCATCAATATCTTTCAAAGAGATGGGATCAATATTGGCACGTTTCATGTATCGACGCTTCAACGCTCTATTATACTTCACAAACACCAAATCATTTAGACGTTTTTGAGCCAGCCTATTTCTTTTTTTGCTGTGAAGCTGCAACAATAAATAAAAAAGCATTTAAATTTGTATATAACTGAATTTGTTTTTGGAATTCACTACTAGATTGGCAACGGGTACTCACATGTTCAAACACACTCCAATTTCTCTCACAGCCAAATGAACTACAAGTAAGACTAAGTACTTTGATGGCAAATTTTTGCAAATCAGGAGTTTCATGACTAAAAGAAATCCACCAAATCAGCTGATCATGATAATTAGTTAGCACTTAGCAAACATTTTGAAGTAAAAGGTATTGACTACTAGAATAGAACATTGTAAATGATTACCTGGTACCCTTGTACTTCTTTGTCTAATTGCCATAGGAATCAAAAAAAGTCCTTCAGCCTTCTCATACTTAGCTAATTCTGCACAACTTTATCTTGGATCTCTAGTGTTGGGATCAACCTTGATATACATTGATACAGGCCTGTCATGATTTCTTTGTCCTTTGCAACATTTGAATCTTTGTAAAACAAACTAAGATTTAAATAAAACCCAGCAGCGTGCAAAGGGCAATGCAATTGAATGTCCCACCTTTGATCAATGATTTCAAAGATCTCTTTATACTTCTCTTCCTTTCCATCGAATGCATTTGCAATAGCTTTTTTAGCCCTATCCATAGCCTCGTAAATATATCCCATTGGAGGCTTTTCTTCACCATCAACCATTCTTAATACATGAACAAGAGGACATGAAAACTGAAAGACAAGGTGAACATGATTCCAAAATGAAGGCATTAGCATTATTTGAGCTGTCTTCTTACCCTGCGGCTCCTTCGCCCATTTGCTTTTGGTCCACTCCGAAGTAAACATCTTCCCCAAGTTGTTCCTTTGTTGATAAAGTCTTTGCAAAGTTAAGAAAGCTGTTGCAAATCAGATTTTAACAGGCTTCACTAACTCCTTCAATTGAGTGAAACTCCTCATCATATTCAACAGAGATGGACAATTACAAATACAACCGTGTACCCCAATTGCCCTTTCAAATGTCTTCTTAAAATTGGGTAATTTGAAAATGTCTTCCAACATTAAATCCAAGCAATGGGTTGCACAAGGTGTCGAATACAAGTGAGGTCTCTTTGCCTCCAAAAACTTCCCTATAAGATTACAAGTCGCAAGTTTATAACATACTAGTTTAAACAATTAGAACCAAAACAAAAGCACACTATTTGCAATAGAGCTAGAGGATTTTACCTGCCAATACATTTGCTGCAGCACTGTCGGTGACAATTTGGACCACATTAGCTTCTCCAATTTTGTCAACAAACTTGTCAAGCAAGTTAAAAATCTTGTTTGCATCCTTTGAGTAACTAGATGCATCAATAGACTCAAGAAACATGGTTCCTCTAGGACAATTCACCAAGAAATTAATCAAAATTCTATGCTTCCTATCCGTCCACCCATCACACATTATAGAACATCCATACTTTGCCCAATCCTCTTTGTGCTTCTTCATCAACTTATGGACATGATCCACTTCTTTCTTGAGATAAGGAATCTGTATCATGTGGTAACTTGGTGGTTTCAAACCTGGACCAAATTGTCCTATGACTTCAATCATTGGTGCAAAACTTTCATTATTGACTACATTAAATGTAATTCCAGTATCATATATCCATCTTGCAATTCTGACATAGGCTCTCTGCATTAACTCTTTTCTATAAGGATTATTTTCATCCATTTTAATTTGCTTTCCCTCGCCTTTTTTTTTTTTTTTTGCACCACTAACTCTAGCTCAGGTGTGAAGAAACAATCCATGGACCCTATCTAGCCCTATCTTCCTAGGCTTTTTAGGTTTCAATTGAATAGAAGCAGAGGTAGTTTTTCGAGTAGAACCTTGAATACGAACAGGTTGTTTACCATGTGGAGAGATTTCTACAACATCATCCTCATCCTCAAAATCTTCTTCGTTGACCATTTCATCAAAGTCAGGCATCAAGTTCAATTGATCCTTCAGTTGCTTTTTTCTTTTGCCATATAATCAGCCACCTCATTACTAACCTCAGTTGGGCATCTAGGACATTTAATTACATTCTTATACCCTCTAACAAGATGTTGCTTAACTCGGAAAACACCCCCATTCATCTCTTTTCCACAAAAATTACGCTTGAACTTGCTTAGATTTTCAGGATTTACCATTGTTGCATACTTCCATGCCGGATCTTTTTTTCCACCCTCAGGTATTGTCATTTATTATGAATGTACCTATTGAGACTATAAGCACTGATTCAGTGTTCATTTTATTATTATTATTATTTTGACGGGGAAAAAAAACAGAGTAGAACAAAGGAGGAAAAAAAAACAGAGCAAGAGAAGAAGAACAAATTAGAGCAGAGCAGAGAAGAGGAGAAGAAGACGAGAAGGGAAGAAGACCAAAACAGTAAAGCAAAAAAAAAAAGAGAGCGTAGAACAAAGGCAAAAAAAAAAAAAAAGAGTAGAACAGAGGCAGAGAAAAGAACCAGAGAAGAGAAGAAGAGAAGAAGAGAAGAACAGTCAAACCAGAAGACAAGAATGAAGCAAAAAAAAAAAAAAACAAAGTAGAATAGAGGCAGAGAAATGAACTAGAGAAGAGAAGAGAAGAACAGTCGAACCAGAAGAAAAGAATGAAGCCACAAAAAAAAAACCAGAGTACAACAGAGGCAGAGAAGAGAAGAAAAGGAGAAGAATTGAACCAGAAGAGAAGAATGAAACAAAACAAAACAAAAAAACAAGGTATAACAGAGGCAGAGAGGAGAACCAACGAAGAGAGAAAAGAGAAGAAGAGGAGAAGAATCGAACCAGAAGAGAAGAATGAAGCAAAAAAAAAAAAAATAGGGTATAACAGAGGGAGAGGAGAACCAAAGAAGAGGAGAGAGAGAAGAGAATAGTCGAACCAGAAGAGAAGAGAACCAGAGAAGAGAGAGGAGAAGAGAACCTGTGTATTTGGCGTGTCGTATAATCTTCTTCACGTCGCTTCTTCTTCTTCTTCTTCTCCACTAGGGCTTTTTTAAATGTTTTCGCTCTTTTGACCCACGTTTGTATCATTTTATAATGTAAATGAGATGTCATCCCATGTGGGTATCCACACAGTAAACAAATGGGGCTGTTGGAGTGAAATAAATTCGAAGCGCATGAAGCGCACGCGTCGAGCTTCATAATAAAGCGCGCGCTTCGTCGCCTCATCTGCGCCTCGCCCATGTCGCCTCGCCTCGCCAAGCTTGAGGTGCAATGCTGCGCTTCATCTCGCCTTGGGCTTAGGCGCGCCTAAGCGCGCTTTTCAAAACACTGCATGAGATACAAGATCACATTGTCGGATAACTTTATTACATAAGGCTAAAACTTTGGATTTTTTCACCACATGGAATGAAAGAACATGACTTTGAGCTCAAAACCATGATTTCAAAACACAACTCCTATTAAAACATAATATCAGTCGTGTTTTGAACCCACGACTTTAAGCTCTCTATTCACCAAAAGTAATCCCGACTTTGGCCTCAAAGTCATGTTTTCATTCCAAACCAAATCAAGTTCCCAAAGTAACTTTTAAAACACACGCCACTAATTTTATTTTATTTTTTTATTGGCGAAAGTTAGTTGTTAATTGTTAAATTAGCACCTATGAGAGTTAGCCTGCCCACCCATTGCAAAGCACCAAGTGCTTGCTTCCTTAATTCAACTCCCCTAGAGAGAGTTGAAACCATGACCTCTCCATAGGAACTAAACTAAGCCCTTAGGAAAGTCATGATGGCCGATCAGACTAGGCCTAGTTAAAACACATGCTACTAATAAAAACTCAAATTCTTCAAAATTAAAACAAAAATATTAAAGATAACACATAAATTATTAAAAAATTTACCAACCACTCAAATGAGGGTGAATCCCACAATAAAAATGCAACCCACCCCATGTTCACGGGTAGTAATTGTTGATATTCCATGTAAGATCTATAGCATGGTGCAACCAAAAGATTAAAAACTATTTTGTACACAGCTAACAAAGTGTATAAACAAAACACTCTTTTATTGGTTAAAACAATGTAATTGACCCCCATTTAATGTGATGTACCCCATTTAAGCTTTGATATACATCATTTTAAAGTGGAAGACCTCACTATTTTGCCTAATATAAAAGTGCATTTTATTCACACCCCTTGCCAAGTGTGTAAGCAAAATCAGTCTCCAAAGTATTGGGCATGTTGGAAAAATGGTTTGTGAAACCATGAGTTTAGGACAACTTTGAGCCTAATTTGGGATGGGATCTGGACATCGATTGAGGTGTGTTCAGGTGGAAACGCGTTCTATATTGCGTGCTGATTCACTTCATATATATGGTTGTTCAAAACCATTTTCCGAGTGAATGCGAAATTGACTCCGAAGAAGGCTTCGGCGACACAGTAGTTGGATGAATTCAAAATTGAATTTGTCTCTGATTTCTTCCAAAAACTTTAAAGCTTTCAAATGGAAATTCAATTTCGATTGTGATTAGGTTTATCCCCCTCCTAGGGGAATTTATCAAATTCTTGATAGAGGTTCATATGATGAAGGTCAGCTTTACAGCTGATTTGGAACAGTGTTTCATCATGTTTCAAGCACATTCTTGAGGTTAAAATCGCCAAAATTTGAACAAATTCGTGTTTGGAGATAGAAATTGGTATCCAATTACAATTTAAATTAGAGTCATAGTCGCATCGAATTTTTTGTAATTTTTTGCTCTGTTTTTCTACATTAGAGAGTATTTGAGTCCTGGGAAGAGTACAACAAGTTTGATTCGCCATATCTGGGATCGACTAATTTCAGTACTGTATCGTTTTGCATTACAATTTCTAGTTTAATTTCCAATATAATCTTATTGCATATTTGTTTGTTTGAAGTATTGTTGTTGTGTTTATTGCTCTATTTCTCTTTAAAATAATTTCGTTTGTTTTTCCTACTGCTCTACTTTGATTATAATCAAAGTCACAATCGTCTTTGTGCTCACTTTGTAATTGAATTACCTACATCATTTGTAATAACTTCCCAACCATCTTAAGGTTTAAAATTTTGGCTGTGTTGAAATTTTTTTCCTGAATAAATAAATAAAAATAATAATTTGTTGTTTTATTTGAGGAGAAATTTCATAAATATATAAAAACTTTGGGTCTACTTTATTTGATTTGAGAAAGTGAAAGACAAATCTATTGCTCTATTTCTCTTTGAAATAATTTCGTTTGTTTTTCCTGCTGCTCTACTTTGATTATAATCAAAGTCACAATCGTCTTTGTGCTCACTTTGTAAGTGAATTAACTACATCATTTGTAATAACTTCCCAACCATCTTAAGGTTTAAAATTTTGGCTGTGTTGAAATTTTTTTCCTGAATAAATAAATAAAAATAATAATTTGTTGTTTTATTTGAGGAGAAATTTCATAAATATATAAAAACTTTGGGTCTACTTTATTTGATTTGAGAAAGTGAAAGACAAATCATAGGAAAACAATGAAACAAAATTGAAGAGAAATGATGAAGATTTGAGGAAAAGAAACTAAAGAGAGAGAGTCGATTTGTGCTCTGGTTTACATTCTTCTTTGAAGAAGAGACATAGGTTTTATCCTATGTGGGTGTTTTTGTTACAACCTAGTGTTTTATTTTGTGTGGGTATGGTTTTGGTGTAACCTAATAAATTATTCAGTGTGGTTGCATCCAAAACTTAGGCCAAGTTTGACATCTCCCAAAAAAAACAAAAAGCCAAAAAGTTATTCAAAAAGTTAAAAAATTATCACTATTCACCAAAAAAAACTATTAAAAAATTAATTTTCCACACAAAAGTACAACTCAGCAATCATGTATGTTCAACGCTGTGCAACGTTTGTCAAGAAAAATTGCACAGTTTGGGTGCAATTTTCACACACTGTTGTTCAGCCCGCTGGGGCCCATTATGGGTCCCGTTTTGATAATCTGAACCGTTCAATGTGTAGAACTCGTCGAGTACTATATAATTGTAAAAAATCGCATTGATCAGATATCGATAACTACATGATCAAATTAGTTTTGTATAAAAAAATGAATGGTGTTATAATTAACAATTGAAAAATAACAAATCTGATCCGATTGCTATCGATATCCGATCAACGTGATTTTTTATAGGCATGTAGTACTCGACGAGTTCTACACATTGAACGGTTCAGATTATCAAAAAGGGACCCGTGATGGCCCCCACGGGCCGAACAAAACGGTCCAGTGCAATGCCAGAAAAGTAGCCAATAATTTCTTACCATCAATTTGGCTGTGCAGATTGTACGGCTGTACAATACACATCTCTAATCTTCTCCTACACACTTCTTTACACAATTTTTTAATACACATTTTTCCATAAAAAATCAAAAAATTAACCCAAACATCCATATTTTTTTCCTCAACTTTTTAGTCCAAAAAAACAAAGTGCACTTATTTAGGACACCCCAAACAACTTACATCCTAATTGACTTGATACAATCAGATGGTTAATTTTTAAATCAAAAATTACGTTTATGCTTAGGCCACATTGGAATCTCTTACAGGAAATTTCAAAGACTTTACTTCTTCTCCAGTTTTATATAATGCGATAAACTCAAATTCCATTGTAGACCTTGTTATGCATGTCTCTTTGGATGACTTCCAAGAGACTGCACTACCTCCCAAGGTAAAGACATATCCACTTGTGGATTTCGAGCCTTTCATATCCGATATCCAATTTGCATCGTTGTACCCTTCTAGTACTGCTAACGAGTATACTGTAAGCCGTATCTCTGGATATATCTTAGATATCTAAGTACCCTAACAACAGCTTTCCAGTGCTCTTTTCTTAGATTACTTGTATACCTACTCAACTTGCTTACTGCATAAGCAATATCAGGTCGAGGGCAGTTCTTAAGGTACATCAAGCTCCCAATAACATGGGAGTACTCTAATTGTGATATGCTTGCGCACCTATATTCTTTGATAAATGAATACTAATTTCTCCAGAATTTCTCAACATAATGAGACTGAGATAAAGCATATCCGTCACAAGATTTTGTGATCTTCATTACAAGAATTACATCTGCAACTCCAAAGTCCTTCATGTCAAACCATTTGTTTAACATCTTCTTTGTGGACTTTATCATGCCATTATTATTCCAAATAATAATCATGTCAACATAAAGACAAATTAAGACATAGCCTTCTTCTATTTTCTTCAAATAAACACACTTGTCACATTCATTTTTCTTAAACCCATCTGAAATCATGACTTAATCAAATTTCACATGTCATAGTTTCGGTGTTTGTTTTAACCCATAAAGCAATTTTACGAACTTACAAACTTTCTTCTCTTCACCTGGAACCACAAACCCCTTGGGTTGTTCCGTATAGATCTCCTCATCTAAGTTGCCGTGTAAGAAAGTTGTTGTAACATCCATTGATGTATCTCCAAATTATACATCACAATTGCTATTAGCATGCGAATGGATGTTATTCTTGTAACAGAGAAATATGTATCAAAATAATCTAGACCCTCCTTTTCCCTATACCCCTTGACTACAATTCTCGCTTTATACTTGTCAATTGAACAATCTGTTTTCATTTTTATCTTGAATATCCATTTATATCCAAGTGGTTTACATCCTGAAGGGAGATCAACCAATTTCCAAATATGATTTTGCATGATGGATTCAATTTCACTATGCACAGCCTCTTTCTACAAAGATGCTTTAGGACCTGACATCGCTTCCTTAAAGCTTTGAGACTCATTTTCTAACAAGTTAGTTAGAAAATCAAGACCAAAGGAATTTGAAGTTCTAACGCTCTTACTTCGTCTAGGTTCATTATCCTCTTGATGTTCTAGGTCCTCACTCTTACTCATAACATCAAAAGTTCTTTTGATAAAACTTGTGTTTTCTACTTATGGAGTCATAGACTCTACAGTTGTCTTGCAATGAAATATATGTTCAAAGAACATTGCATTCCTCGACTCAATAATAGTATTCTCATGCACATCAAGATTTTCAGATTTATGAATCAAAAATCGATATGTACTATTATTATTCACATAACTGATGAATACACAAATTAGCGTTTTTTTATCAAATCTTAGGAGTTGTTTGAGATGTCCTAAATAAGTGCACTTTTTATCTTTTTAGACTAAAAAGTTGAGGAAAAAATTATGGATGTTTGGGTTAACTTTGATTTTTTATGAAAAAATATGTATTAAAAAATTGTATAAAGAAATGTGTGGGAGAATATTAGAGATGTGTGTTGTATAGCCGTACAATCTGCACAGCCAAATTGATGGTAAGAAATTATTAGCTACTTTTCAGGCATCGCACTGGACGGTTTTGTTCAGCCCGTGGGGCGCATCACGGGTCTCGTATTGATAATCTGAACCGTTCAATGTGTAGAACTCATCGAGTACTATATGCTTATAAAAAATCACGCTGATCGGATATCGATAGCTATCTGATCAGATTTTTTTTTTTTTAATCGTTAATTATAACACCATTCATTTTTTTATACAAAACTGATTTGATCATATAGTTATCGATATCCAATCAATGTGATTTTTTACAGACATAGTACTCGACGAATTCTACACATTTAACGGTTCAAATTATCAAAACCGGACCCGTGATAGGCCCCCACAGGCCGAACAACAGTGTGTGAAAATTGCACCCAAACTGTGCAATTTTTCTTCACAAACGCTGCACAACGCTGAACATACATGATTGCTTGAGTTGTACTTTTGTGTGGAAAATTAATTTTTTAATATTTTTTTTGGTGAATAGTGCTAACTTTTTTTTTAACTTTTTGAGTAACTTTTTGATTTTTTGTCTTTTTGAGAAGATGCCAAACTTGGCCTTAGTCATCTTGAGACTAGGGATAGCCACTTTTGCCAAACACCCCCACATTTTAAGATAATTGTAGGTAGGTTTCCGACCCTTCCACAACTCATGGTATTTGGTTTGTCTTCTTGTGGGGTATTCTGTTTAAATAAAATTTATAGATAGAACTGCCTCCCCCCACAAATTTTGGGATAAACTCGAACTTATTAACATGGCATTGATCATCTCTTTTAGAGTTTGGTTCATTCTCTCAGCCACTCCATTTGATTGAGGACGATAATGGACAGTAGTTTGATGAATAATTCTGAATTGAGAACACACTTCCTCAAATGGAGCATCATATTCACCACCTCTGTCATTTCTGACAACCTAAATTCTCTTGCCAAGTTGGTTCTCAACCTTAACTTTGTATTGCTTGAAAGCCTCCAAGGCTTCATCTTTGCTTCTCAACGAGTAAACATAATAATGCCGCGTGCTATTACCAATAAAAGTAAAGAAATTCTTTTTACCTTTTCTTGTTTGAACATATTTCAGATGCCTAATATCTATATGAATCAAACTCAAAGGTTTAGTACTTCTCTCTACTTTATTAAATGATGCCTTTGAGAGTTTTGCTTCAATGCAAACTTCACACTTGTGATTAAAATCAATTTCAATTTTAGGTAAACAAATTAAAAAAAATTAATATACAAATAAAATTGAAATTCACATGTCCTAATCTACCATGCCCGCCACAAATAACAGGACTCGACAATATAAACAAAAAGTATTCTTATTATTATTCATAATATTGGGTACAACAGTTAATACATTGAGCTTAATAGCCCATCATACATATAGTCCTTTCCCATATACATCCCGTTTTTGGAAAGAACAACCTTCTCAGATTCAAAGACTAATTTAAACCTATTCTTAATCAACAATGACCCGAAAATTAGATTCTTTTGAATATCTAGAAAACGGAGTACATTGTTGAGAGTGAGTTCATTTCCCGAAGTCATCTTCAACACAACATTACCTTATCCCTCGACTTTAGAGGTTGAAGAATTTCCAATAAAGAGTTGTTCTCCATTTTCCACCAAATTATGGGTCGTAAATATCTTTTTGTCGACGCAAATATGACAAGTAGCCCCATGTCCACCCACCATTCCTTGGTATTGTCTATCAAATTTGCCTCTAACACCACTGCAAAGAGACTAATGTCTGCCAACCCATTTGAAATGTTTTTAACTTTGGTCACATGTGCTTGTGCAGGTCTCTTGCTAGAATCTCCGTTATCCTTGCGTTGATGGGAATTCATCGCTCACTGTCCATCTCTACCGCACACAAAACACTTGCCTTTGTACCTCTTGTTGTTCAACTCTTGGAAGCCCTACTTGGGACTCTCACCATCATACTTCCTCTTTCTGTTGTTGAATTTAGAGCATCGTCCTTGTTCCACAACATTCACTTTGGCTCGAATCATATGACTGCCTATCTTTTTGTCAAAACCACGTTTATCCTCCTCTATACGAAGCCACACAATCAACTCCGCACAATCAACTCCTCCAGTTTCATCCATGCTTCAAATAATTCGTAAATTCCTTCCATGTTTGTGGCAACTTTTCAATAATTGCCACAACTTGAAAGGATTCACTAAGAGTCATTCCTTCAGCATGAATCTCATGAAGAATTAACTAAAAGTCTTGCCCTTGACTAATAATAGTCTTGGAATCAACCATCATATAATCCAACAAATTTCTTTGCGCTAGCATCTTATGTCTTATATTGTAGTTCTAAAGATTCCCACAATTCTCTAGCAATTCCCTTCACGTAATACACATTACAAAGTGTGTTTGCAAGACTATTGAGAATATAATTCCAACACAAAAAGTCCCCATGCTTCCAGGCTTCCACTGCAGCCACAATTTGCCGGTCAATTTCTCCCTCGCTCAGCACTAGTACAATTTCATGGGCATATCGAGCCAAATTTAAAGTGGTAAGATAAAATAACATTTTTTGTTGCCATCATTTAAAATCAATTCCAATAAACTTTTCTCGTTTTTTCCCATGATTGATCGATACTGATAGAGTTACTGTTGGCATCACAATTCCCGAGATAGGAACAGGGTAGGATAAGTCTCAGCACTCTCATTTTCAGTTATCATTCTTAAACCACAAATAATAGCTATTTTGCAATTTAATGAAAAATTCTATAAAACCACATCCACACAGAATAAAACACTCGATCGTAACAAAAACAAATTCAACACAACCAAAATTTTAAACCTTAAAACTGTTGGAAAGTTATTACAAATGATGTAATTAATTCACTTACAAAGTGAGCACAAAAATGATTTTGGGTTTGATTTATAATCAAACCAGAGTAAAAGGGAAAACAATGAAATTATTTCAGAGAAATAAAGCAATAAACACAACAATAATACTTTAAACAAACAAATATGCAATAAGATTATACTAGAAATTAAACTAGAAATTGTAATACATAACGATACAATACCAAAATTAGTCGAGACTTGTGTTGGGACACAATTTCCTTAAGGTTTCATTCACCCTCCACCGAGATGCTCAGGTTGTCAACGCCAACCTCCCTCGATACAACAACTAGAATCCAAGACCGTAGCAGAACGATCCAAGATATGGCAAGCCAAACTTGTGTTCTCTAATGCAGAAAGCTAAATGAGGATGAAGAAAAACAGAGCAAAAAATCGAAAAATTCAAAGCTACTATGACTCTAATTTAGATTGTAATTCAATACTAATTTCTATCTCCTACAACTTAGAATGAGTGGGGTTATAGACAGACGCAGTTCAAACAATCACGAATCTGTTCAAATTTTAACGATTCAACTTCAAGAATGTGCCTGAAACTATTCCAAAATCTGCTGTAAAACTGGCCTTCACCATATGAACCTGTATCAAAAATTTGACAGAAGCCCTTACGAGGAGAAACCAAATCACAATCAAAACTGAATTTCCATTTGAAAGCTTCAAAGTTTCTGGAAGAAATCAGAGACAAATTTTATTTTGTATACCTTCAACTACCATATTGTCAAAGCCTTCTTCAGAGTCAATTTCACATTCTCTCGGAAAATAATTGTAAAATTCTCATTACCCTGCTTATTTTTAAATAAAGAGAAATTTAAAATCCAAAGCCCCACATAATTTTAGTCCAAGCCCTACATAATTTTACTCCCTTACGATGCAAAACAAACATTAAAATATCATTGCCACAACATTATTAATAAGAATCATGTCAATCATTTAGCTAAAGAAACACATTTTTCAAGAATGTCTAATGATGCTTTTAGGTTTTTTATACACAAGTTATAAAATTAAGCAACATATATGAACCTAATACACAACACTCACCATTCCAAATGTGATTATATATGTCTATATGAGAAGCCAACACACATCACCCAATGATAGTAAACACATTTGAGAGTTCCATCAAAATTTGAATGACCATGTATCATTTTATTAAGTAAACACACAAGCATATGTAATGTAACACAAGAATTTATCAAAGACATTCTTGTCCATACTATTAAAAATAGAAAATTCAAAAAACATTAATCAACATATTTCCATACAAATTGAATTGTGTGATCATAAGTCCTTGCATGCACGTCAATGCATGTTAAGAGGGCACTAAAAGTAAAAATACTAAAAACATTGTATTGGCAAACTTATCATCATCAGAAAAATGGAATTTTCATTCACAACTTTAAACAGTTATGTCCAATGGTGTCCTAAGATATTCAACACTTCATCACTTGGTGATCTCTTGCAAATAATGTATAAAAACAGAAAATGAAAACCATAAGAAAAGAAACAATGAACCACATTAACTCAAAAGTAAAGTAATTGTCAATCTTATACAACAAGGATATATGATTTCTTTGTTATTCTAAACAAGCAAAACATCAATGGAGGACATTTAGCATGGTTGAATATATATATAACTAAAGTAAAAACTTTGGGTAAAAAAATACTCATATCGAAAAAAATGTAAAAAACAAAAGCCAATGATGTCCATATAACATGCTAGAGTAAGTGAATTCTTACAAATTCACCCTTTTGTCAGATATCTCAATGACAGCCAATGCCACCATTTTAGTGAATAGGAGACCCAATGTTGTCTTAAGTGTTTATTAATTTAGAGAGTGAATAATGGTGTAATTAAAGTATGTTATGTAAGAATGGGGTCTACTAAAATATACATTTATATCAAACAAAATAATTTTTTTTTTAAAAAAGCATATTGATCCCACCACTATCAATCAGGCAACACTCACACAAATGTGCTAACTGCATCGCCACTTTTAGCAACACCTCTAACAAACTACTAACTTGACACTTTTAGCACCACCTCCAACAAACTACTAATTTAACTAATTCGTTGTCTAATTCATTAGAAGACATACAAAACTTTGTTTGTTAACCAAGTAAAAGACTGACACCAATGGGTTCTTTTAAGATCCCATAGGAGATGCTACTATCAATTAACATGACAGAAGGCAATTTCAACCTCTCCAATGTTGTTGCTAAAGGGTATGCTAATTGTAGCAAAGCCATTAGCACACCAAGAAAGAGAGAGTGAAGCTGCAAGTACGATGGTCAAACCATCTTACTTCTTATATTTTAATTATTTTTTTTTATTAGAGACTTATGTTTAGTATTGAATTGTTTGTTTTGTTCCTAAGTTTCACTTATACTTATTTTTATTATTGATTGTTCTTGGGTTTCTACTTTTTCTTTATTTGTTAGTAACATATACATATATATATTTTTCTTGGGTTTCTCTTAATTTTTTAGTTGACTTTTGATGTGAGGATATAACATTAACTACTTTCAGTAAACAAAATTAAATGTTAACACATCTAGTATTTGGTTGTAATCTTTGCAGTTTGCATCATATTGCTCGCACTTTGGCACCAATTAAGGCATACATTGTATGCACCGACCGCAAGTATAACTAATAGTTTAGTACTTCATTTTTACTAACGTTAATCTCAAATGATTCTATAAAATCGGATCTCCTAAGATATACATCTAAAAAATGTAAGTTCTAAAAACAAGATCATAACAAGAAGATTCAGAAGCAAAGGTTTAGCATCACTCAACAGACAGTCTCAGATCAAGGGGTGGATAATTTTACTATTGCATCATCCTCATCTACATTGTATCAGACCATCAACGCATACAATTTTTTTTTTTTTTTCTTTTTTTGTAATCAAAAAGATTTTCAACCCAAGACCAAAAAAATGATAAAAGACGAGATCTAGAAGAGAGGAAAAGAGATTACTCAGGGGTGGCTTAAAAAGTAGTAGCTCGATTCTGCCAGCAATTCATCCTCAACTTTAGATTTCCGAAGAGGGAGCTTTTTATCCTCATCGCAATCTCTGTTTTCCAAAGCACATATTTGACAAATTAAGTAGAATTACAAATTAATAAAGCTGAAATACATGCATACACATGAACACAGACATACATATTTATATATCTATATATATATATAGAGAGAGAGAGAGAGAGACTCCGTGAAGATATTAATAACCTTCACTAAGTGAAGGTCGACACACCATAGAACAACTTCAAAACATGATTTTGCTTCCACAGTAGTAGATGACAAAGCAAAAAAACCTGCAGCATTTGTTATCACCTGATTGTTATATAATGAGCCATCAACCACAATTTTATGAATTAAACTATCTACAACCCACGTTACCATATTAGTAACAGAAACGGATTTTGAGCATCTATTACGTTCAATCATATCATTGCCCAAACCACCCTCCTTATCAACTAAATCTGTTAAAAAGCTTTGCTTCGCTTATTTGTAGCTTATTTTAGACGAACAAACTAGCTTACACTTGAGTACCAAAGGAGACCTCAATGCAACTGATAAGCATAATCAGGGGTGCTCAGAGGATATTCCAAACAATCCAAACCGACCGAACCAATTCGCCGCATTTTGGACGAATGCATGATAACGAGAGGATGGTTGCGGATTAATTTTTTTTCAATCCGCCTAGTTTTAGACGGATGGCAGATTTGAGGTTCGTTTGACCGCAACCGAACTCTCAAACTTGAAGCACCCCTAGCAATTTGTAAGACTTTGTATTTTCAATTTGTTTAAATATTCTGTTTGTGTTTTCAATTGAGAAAGAATTTAAATATTCTGTTATGTTTTCAATTTCGAAATCCTTTTATCAAAAGGCAAGGGTTGATATTTGGTATTATTAGTGTAAAAAACATAAGGCTTAATTTTGTCAAAATCCCATAATCATTTCACTTTTTCTCTCACAAACATCACATTCAACCACAAAAAAACTCAACTATCTTCCTAAACACCAAAATTTGTTTCTCCAATAATATCCTACAACAAAAAAAACCCACTTCCCAAGCACCCACTATGTCTATATGAGAAGTCAACAGACATCACCCAATGATAGTAAACACATTTGAGAATTCCATCAAAATTTTAATGACCATGTGTCATTTTATTAAGTAAACAGGCAAGCATATGTAATGTAACACACGAATTTATCAAAGACATTCTTGTCCATACTATTAAAAATAGAAAATTCAAAAAACATTAATCAACATATTTCCATACAAATTGAATTGTGTGATCATAAGTCCTTGCATGCACGTCAATGCATGTTAAGAGGGCACTAAAAGTAAAAATACTAAAAACATTGTATTGACAAACTTATCATCATCAGAAAAATGGAATTTTCATTCACAACTTTAAACAGTTATGTCCAATGGTGTCCTAAGATATTTCAACACTTCATCACTTGGTGATCTCTTGCAAATAATGTATAGAAACAAAAAATGAAAACCGTAAGAGGAGAAACAATAAACCACATTAACTCAAAAGCAAAGTAATTGTCAATCTTATACAACAAGGATATGTGAAACGAGCAAAAAATCAATTAAGGACATTTAGCATGGTAGACTATATATAACTAAAAACTTTGGTAAAAAAAATACTTATATCGAAACAATGTAAAAAAACAAAAGCCAATGATGTCCATATAACATGCTAGAGTACAACTTAAGTGAACTCTTACAAACTCACCCTTTTGTGTAATTGAAGTATGTTAGGAAAGAATGGGGTCTACTAAAATATACATTTATATCAAACAAAATAAATTCTTTTTAAAAAAACAAAACTATGCTGATCCCACCACTATCAATCAGGAAACACCCGCACACATGTGCTAACTACATCGCCACTTTTAGCAACACCTCTAACAAACTACTTAACACTTTTAGCACCACCTCCAACAAACTACTAATTTAACTAATAGGTTGTCTAATTCATTTGAAGACATACAAAACTTTGTTTGCTAACTAAGTAAAAGACTGACACCAATGGGTTCTTTTAAGATCCCATCGGAGATGCTACTATCAGTTAACACAGCAGAAGGCAATTTCAACCTCTCCAATGTTGTTGCTAAAGGGTATGCTAATTGTAGCAAAGCCATTAGCACACCAAGAAAGAGAGAGTGAAGCTGCAAGTACGATGGTCAAACCATCATACTTCTTATATTTTAATTATTTTTTTTGATAAGACACTTATGTTTATTATTGAATGTTGTTTTGTTCCTAAGTTTCACTTATACTTATTTTTATTATTGATTGTTCTTGGGTTTCTACTTTTTCTTTATTTGTTAGTAATATATACATATATATATATATATATATATTTTTCTTGGGTTTCTCTTAATTTTTTAGTTGACTTTTGATGTGAGGATAGAACATTAACTACTTTCAGTAAACAAAATTAAGGGGTTGTTTGGGATGTCCTAAATAAGTGCACTTTTTGTCTTTTTGAACTAAAAAATTGAGGAAGAAAATATAGATCTTTGGGTTAACTTTTTGACTTTTTATGGAAAAATGTGTAATAAAAAATTATAAAAATTAGTTTGTAAGAGAAAATTAGAATTGGAAGTTGTGCAGCCGTAATTGTTGACTTTTGGTGAATAGTGTTAACTTTTTAACTTTTTGAGTAACTTTTTGGCTTTTTGACTTATTCTGGACTTGCCAAACTTGGCCTAAATGTTAACACATTTAGTATTTGGTTGTAATCTTTGCATTTTGCATCATATTGCTCGCACTTTGGCACCAACCGACCGCAAGTATAACTAATAGTTTAGTACTTCATTTTTACTAACATTAATCTCAAATGATTCTATAAAATCGAATCTCCTAAGATATACATCTAAAAAATGTAAGTTTTAAAAACAAGATCATAACAAGAAGATTCAGAAGCAAAGGTTTAGCATCACTCAACAGACAGTCTCAGATCAAGGGGTGGATAATTTTACTATTGCATCATCCTCATCTACATTGTATCAGACCATCAACGCATACAATTTTTTTTTTTTTTTTAATCAAAAATATTTTCAACCCAAGACCAAAAAAATGATAAAGACGAGATCTAGAAGAGGGGAAAAGAGATTACTCAGGGGTGGCTTAAAAAGTAGTAGCTCGATTCTGCCAGCAATTCGTCCTCAACTTTAGATTTCAGAAGAGGGAGCTTTTTATCCTCATCGCAATCTCTGTTTTCCAAAGCACATATTTGACAAATTAAGTAGAATTACAAATTAATAAAGCTGAAATACATGCATATACATGAACACAGACATACATATTTATATATCTATATATATATATATATAGAGAGAGAGAGAGAGAGACTCCGTGAAGATATTAATAACCTTCACTGAGTGAACGTCGACACACCATAGAACAACTTCAAAACATGATTTTGCTTCCACAATAGTAGATGACAAAGCAAAAAAACCTGCAGCATTTGTTATCACCTGATTGTTATATAATGAGCCATCAACCACAATTTTATGAATTAAACTATCTACAACCCACGTTACCATATTAGTAACAGAAACGGATTTTGAGCATCTATTACGTTCAATCATATCATTGCCCAAACCACCCTCCTTATCAACTAAATCTGTTAAAAAGCTTTGCTTCGCTTATTTGTAGCTTATTTTAGACGAACAAACTAGCTTACACTTGAGTACCAAAGGAGACCTCAATGCAACTGATAAGTATAATCAGGGGTGCTCAGAGGATATTCCAAACAATCCAAACCGACCAAACCGATTCGCCGCATTTTGAACGAATGTATGATAACGAGAGGATGTTTGCGGATTAATTTTTTTTCAATCCGCCTAGTTTTAGACGGATGACGGATTTAAGATTCCTTTGACTGCAACCGAACTCTCAAACCGGAAGCACCCCTAGCAATTTGTAAGACTTTGTGTTTTCAATTTTTTTAAATATTCTGTTTGTGTTTGTGTTTTTGATTGAGAAAGAGTTTAAATATTCTGTTATGTTTTCAATTTCGAAATCCTTTTATCAAAAGGCAAGGGTTGATATTTGGTATTATTAGTGTAAAAAATATAAGGCTTAATTTTGTCATTTTTTTTTTAAAATCAAATAAAATAGTTTTAATAATGTTTAGTTTTCTTAATGTATTTATTATTAGTATTTGACAATTTACTTGATAATCTTTTGATTATGTTATGTTGGAATGTTATCTAAAAAAAATGTTAACAAATTGTTGTATTATGTTCAAAATTTGTAAAAGTTTAAACCGTCAAACTGATTCGCATTCGCCCGCCAATCCGCTCAATCCACATCTGCCAATTTGGCAGACGAATGGCGGATCAAAGGTTCCCCAGCCGCAACCGAACCACGATCACCCCTAATTATGATCCCTACTGGTATATTTTCAACGAACAAGCTAGCTTATATTTAAACGAGCAAGCTAGCTTCCATTCAATTGTGCAATCACTCTTTCTACAATTATAATCCCTACTAGTAAAAACAATGTAATAAGCCTTACTCAAGGATTTCATTGTGAGCTCAAAAGTCTGGATTTGTATGACATGCAATCAAAATACTCTACAAAATTGTATCACAGCAATGCAGAATTTGTTTGCAGAATTTGTTTGCAGAAATATTTAACAGCTGCAATATCAAACACCAATGACCGGTTCTACAAATTGCATGACACCAGCATTCACAAAACATACCCTCTTTCCTTCTCTGCTAAAATTACAAGCAATTGATTCAACAGGACAAGCACCAACTCTGCTAGAAAAGAAATAAAATTAATCACAAAGCCTCGCCATCCAGCTGCATTGGTAGGAAAGAAACAACATGACCAACAGGCCACCTTATCTCTACCTTATCTTCTGTAAAGCTCAAAAATAAGAATTACTCAACAGCAACCATCATCATCAATAGAGAAGCACAATAATGCATACAATTTTGAAATTGCTGCCATTATTCAAATCTAATAGCCTATCTTGCTTTAGTCTACCATGGAGAGAAATGAAGCCATCCATTATCAAATCTCATCAATATGAAAGAATGATAATAGCAAACCATTTTGCTTAAGTAATAGCGAAAACTTGAAACCAAATTCTCCAAAGATGTCTCTTCATGACAAAGAGACTAACTCAAGAAAACTGCGAAACTAGTGGCATCATCTACATAAATCAACCATGGTTATTTGGAGAAACAAAAATATTTAATAAGTTGACAGTGTAGAACTCATAACATGGTTCAATAGAACATATGAAACACTTTCAATACGCAAATTTCACCCAAACTAAAGAAAACCACATTGAAAAACAAAAACAAAAACAACCACATATTGCACAAATCTTTTTCCATTTCGCTTAACTAGACAAGAACTTGACTGATCACCAATATACAATCTGAGTAAACCAATATACATTATTTAGCAATAGCAATTCCCTTTAAATAACCTCTTTAAACCACTAAAAGCCATAATCCATTGTAAAATCTCATCAATGTGAAAGAATGCTAGTGGCAAACCATTTTGCTGGAGTAATAGCAAAACTAGAAACTAAATTCTTTTTTTGATCACCAACATGAAACCAGATTCTCTGAAGTTGTCTATCCATATTTCCATGACCTCTTCATGGTGAAGATAGAGATCAACAAAACTATGAAACAGAACTTGTAAGAGCCTTCAGTAGAACATAGCAAGAACTATTCAATACACAAATTCCAACCCCAAATTAAAGAAGACCACATTTAGAAACAAAAACAAAAAACCAAATATATTCTCTTTCCATTTCACTTTTATTCATTTATTGTTGTTTGAGAAAAAGCATAATACAATATTAATATATGAAATAGAAGTACAAAATACATTACTTTTTCCCGTTCAATTTTCCTTTCACTTAACTGTACAAGAACTCAATTCTCAGAACAACTTGCTAGAGCACCAATTTACAATCCAAGGACAAATACTAGCAGGAGACCAAGACACACACACAACTTTTCTCTTAAAAATTTGAACATAATTCTATTTGCTACGCTAATATTTGACATGAGAATGTAATATTGATCGGAGCCTAAATATTACACATTTGGCCCACTAACATACATTTTATTAGTCCATTAATTTGTATTATTTTATAATTTTGTGTGTTTGTATATATTTTAGGTGTTTATATATAAATTTAGTGTAAATAATACGTTTTAGATATTTTATATATTATATTATATATATTATAAAATAAATTTTAAAAAAAAAAAAAGAAGATAACCATGCCTCCCACACCTTCTCTCAAGACATGGGAGGCATGCCTCTCTTTTCTTTTTTTTAATTGTTTATTATTTTCAAAACCAATCACTTTAATTATTATTTCTGAAATAAAACAATTCGATTAGTCCCCAAGAATCGACACTTGGCCTTAACCGCTATACTTCGAAATAATAGTTATTCCTTGATTTTAAATACAATATTTTGTTATGCAAATGACCGTATCAAATATCATGTCGATTAATAAGACAACTAAAGCATTGACATTTTTGACATGTCAATAATATATGCCAACACCAAACAAAAAAGTTCCTGCCCAGTGTCAATATTGAATGATTGCTATAGAAGCAACTTTTCAATGAAATAACAATATACTAGTATATGCAACAATCCCACTATTGGAGGTAAAATCTTGTGTAACAGACACACCACGTTGATATATTTCTATTATGTAAATAGACCATCATGATGTACCCGTTACACAAGATACAAAATCACATTGTCGGATAACTTTATTACATAAGGCTAAAACTTTTGATTTTTTCACCACATGGAATGAAAGAACACAACTTTGAGCTCAAAGCCATGATTTCAAAACACAACTATTAAAACATAATATCAATCGTGTTTCAAAACACAACTATTAAAACATAATATCAATCGTGTTTTGAACGCACGACTTTGGCCTCAAAATGATGTTTTCATTCCAGACCAATCAAGTTTGGTAATGAGCTTCTAAAACTTGCGTAATAAAACAATTTTGTTGCACCAGAAGTGACTTTAAAACACATGCTTTTTTTTTTTTTTTTTGATTGGCGAAAGTTAGTTGTTAATTGTTACATTAGCACCTATAGACATTAGCATCTCCACCCATTGAAAAGCACCAAGGGAAAATTGAACCCATGACCTAGTTAAAACACATGCTACTAATAAAAACTCCAAAATTATAGGCCTGGTTTGGGAACTTTAAAAAAAAAACCAAAAAGTTACCAAAAAAGTTATCACTATCCATCAAAAAAAATAATAAAAAAATTAATATACAAATATTAAAATACAAATCAACTTTTTGGCTCATCTAGACGTCAAAGCAAAGGAAAAAAAAAATACTGTCTTTGCTTTGACGTCAGTACCTAGATGGGCCAAAAAGTTAATTTGTATTTTAATATTTGTATATTAATTTTTTTTTTTTTTTTTTGTGAATAGTAATAACTTTTTTGGTAACTTTTTGATTTTTTAGCTTTTTTTAAAGTTCCCAAACCAGAATAAAAATATTAGAGATACCACAAAAATTATCAAAATATTTACCAAAATGAGGGTGAAGCCCACAATAAGTATGCAACAAACCCCATGTTCACGGTAGTAATTTTTGATAATCCATATAAGATCTATAACATGGTGCAACCAAATATTGAAAACTATTTTGTACATCACTAACAAAGTGTATGAACAAAACACACTCTTTTATTAGTTAAAATAATGTAATTGACCCCCAATTAATGTAATGAGGTTTGATATACATCACTTAAAGTGGAAGACTCACTATTTTACCTAATATAAAAGTGTATTTTATTCACACACCTTGTCAAGTGTGTAAGGAAAATCAGTCTCCAAAGTGTGACATACTACTTCTAATCAATTATGCTAAGATACTTAAGAGTCTAACATTAGGCAAATACTTTTTATACCAGTAACTAATCTCAAAATGTAAAATTCTCAGTGAAGAAAAATTTAAAATCCAAAGCCCTACATAATTTTAGCCCCAGCCCTACATAATTTTACTCCCTTGACATGCAAAACAAACATTCAAATATGGGACGTTTACACACAAGTCCTAATTTATGAACTTAGAACTTGTTTGGGATAAGCTAAAAAAGATAAAAAAGCAAAAAAGTTTAGGAGTTGTTTGGAATAAACCATATAAGTGCACTTTTTCACTTTTTTGGCTAAAAAAATATAGGAAAAATATATATATGTTTAGGATAACTTTTGACATTTTACGAAAAAATGTGTATTAAAATATTGCATCAACTAACAAAATTACCTTTCTACCCTTCTGAGCACTAACATGCTTTTCGTGCATGTCAGTGAAATCCCGCGTCAATGCACTGCGCTACACTGTTTTTTTTTTTACCAAAAAATGCACTGTTGTAAGTGGACAAAGCCAAGGGCATTTCTGTCTTTTTACCCTCTGTCTATTCAAACTTTTTTTCCTTCCCAAACATGTGAATAGTATTAACTTTTTTGCTTTTTCAAAGACTTTTTGGCTGTCTTTTTTAAAGGATGCCAAACACCTACTTATTCTATTCACAAACATTGGGCGGGAAACTATGGCTTAAAATCAGAGGGCAAAAAGACAGAATTGCCCTTGCTTTTGTCCCTTCCTCTGACATACACAGGTGAAAAAAAAATTAAAGAAAAACAAAAACAGAGTGCACTGAACAGTGATGAACACAATTCACTGACATGCACAAAAGCAAATGTGCCTGTTAGAAGGGTAGTTCGGTAATTTCAATATTTCATACAATATTTTAATACATATTTTTTTGCAAAAAATTAAAAAATTATCTCAAACTATATTTTCTCTAGTTTAATTAAAAAGTCAAAAAATGCACCTATATAGTTCATCTCAAATAACCCCTTATACTCTATCAAGTCCTAATAAAGATTTTTTGAACTTTCAAATCCCATTAAATTTTTAATAATCGAAACAATGATTGTTCATCATTTATGATTAACTATAAAGGAACATGATAATTTAATATTTATTTTGATTTTCAAAATTTTAAAACATCAAAGACAAAAATGTTTGATCTCATACTTTGTTTTTTTTATCAATTATTAAAACAATTATCTAAAACACTTCTATGTAAAATTGATAATCTTCTTAATTTTAAAAATTGAGAAAAATTAATAATATTTTCAGTTTTACTAAATAGGACTTATTGATTAAAAAAATCTTAAATAAAACCTGAGCTACCATAACATTTATAAATAGGACTTTTAGATAATTAACTCTTAAAATATCATTGCCACAACATTATTAATAAGAAACAGATTTTTCAAGAATGTCTAATGATGCTTTTAGGTTTTTTATACACAAGTTATAAAATTAAGCAAAATATATGAACCTAATACACAACACTCATCGTTCCAAACGTAGTTATATATGGCGGTGTTTGGCAACTAAGTTTTTGGATTTTTTTTTATTTTTTCACTACAAGACAAATGTTTTACAAAACCAAAAAAAAAAATCCAAACAAAATATCACATCAAATCCCATAATCATTTCACTTTTTCTCTCACAAACATCACATTCAACCACAAAAAAACTCAACTATCTTCCTAAACACCAAAATTTGTTTCTCCAATAATATCCTACAACAAAAAAAACCCACTTCCCAAGCACCCACTATGTCTATATGAGAAGTCAACAGACATCACCCAATGATAGTAAACACATTTGAGAATTCCATCAAAATTTTAATGACCATGTGTCATTTTATTAAGTAAACAGGCAAGCATATGTAATGTAACACACGAATTTATCAAAGACATTCTTGTCCATACTATTAAAAACAGAAAATTTAGAAAACATTAATCAACAGATTTCCATACAAATTGAATTGTGTGATCATTAGTCCTTGCATGTACGTCAATGCAAGTTAAGAGGGCACTAAAAGTAGAAATACTAAAAACATTGTATTGACAAACTTATCATCATCAAAAAAATGGCATTTTCATTCACAACTTTAAACAGTTATGTCCAATGGTGTCCTAAGATATTTCAACACTTCATCACTTGGTGATCTCTTGCAAATAATGTATAGAAACAAAAAATGAAAACCGTAAGGGGAGAAACAATAAACCACATTAACTCAAAAGCAAAGTAATTGTCAATCTTATACAACAAGGATATGTGAAACGAGCAAAAAATCAATTGAGGACATTTAGCATGGTAGACTATATATAACTAAAAACTTTGGTAAAAAAAATACCTATATCAAAACAATGTAAAAAACCAAAAGCCAATGATGTCCATATAACATGCTAGAGTACAACTTAAGTGAACTCTTACAAACTCACCCTTTTGTGTAATTGAAGTATGTTATGAAAGAATGGGGTCTACTAAAATATACATTTATATCAAACAAAATAATTTTTTTTTTAAAAAACAAAACTATGCTGATCCCACCACTATCAATCAGGAAACACCCGCACACATGTGCTAACTACATCACCACTTTTAGCAACACCTCTAACAAACTACTTAACACTTTTAGCACCACCTCCAACAAACTACTAATTTAACTAATAGGTTGTCTAATTCATTTGAAGACATACAAAACTTTGTTTGCTAACTAAGTAAAAGACTGACACCAATGGGTTCTTTTAAGATCCCATCGGAGATGCTACTATCAGTTAACACAGCAGAAGGCAATTTCAACCTCTCCAATGTTGTTGCTAAAGGGTATGCTAATTGTAGCAAAGCCATTATAGCACACCAAAAAAGAGAGAGTGAAGCTGCAAGTACGGTGGTCAAACCATCATACTTTTTTATTTTTTAATTATTTTGTTTGATAAGACACTTACATTTATTATTGAATTTTGTTTTGTTCCTAAGTTTCACTTATACTTATGTTTATTGTTGATTGTTCTTGGGTTTCTATTTTTTCTTTTTCTTTTTTTCTTTCTTTGTTAGTATTTTTTTTTTTTTTTCTTGGTTTTCTCTTAATTTTTTAGTTGACTTTTGATGTGAGGATAGAACATTAACTACTTTCAGTAAACAAAATTAAATGTTAACACATCTAGTATTTGTTTGAAATCTTTGTGCTTTGCATCATATCGCTCGCACTTCGGCACCAATTAAGGCATGCATAATGTACGCACCAACCGCAAGTATAACTAATGGTTTAGTACTTCATTATTACTAACTTCAATCTCAAATGATTCTATAAAATCGAATCTCCTAAGATATACATCTAAAAAATGTAAATTTTAAAAACAAGATCATAACAACAAGATTCAGAAGCAAAGGTTTAGCATCACTCAACAGATAATGTCTCAGATCAAGTGTTGGATAGTTTTACTATTGCATCATCCTCATCTACATTGCACAAAAAACTTTTTTTTTTTTTTTTGAATCAAAAAAAAATTTCAACCCTATACCAAGAAAATGATAAAGACGAGATCTAGAAGAGGGGAAAAGAGATTTGACAAACTAAGCATAATTATAAATTAATAAAACTAAAATACATGAACACACACACACACACACACACACATATAGAGAGAGAGAGAGAGAGAGAATCGCTCAGTTCAGCGGGGTAGTCGACACGCAAACTTCTCTAGAGAGAAAAACCTGCATCCCGGTCTGTTGAGCTTGAATTTCATGGAGTCGTCACTGCGATTTCTTTCAAATTTTAAGATAAACAAACAGAAAAAGAAATGAAAAATGACAATGAAAACAAAACAAACGAAGAAGAAAAGAAAGCAGTAAATAAGATTGAAACCCTAGAGAATTAGGGTGGACTAATGGTTGCTATGTATTTATAGGGGCTGAGCTAGGGTTTTTCACCTTGAACCCCCATTTTTGGGGCTTGTTTGGGAGATGGGTAGTTGGACCACTGTTTAGGTGTGGAGACTTTTCCTACGCCAGGTTAAGATAATTTCAAACCCAATTGGCTTGGTTTGGGAAATTCCCCTAATCATAAAAAAAAAGGTAAATTACAAATACACCATCTAATGTTTGATTAAAATATAAATCGTTTATTGTAATTTTAAAAATTACATTTCACCTTTTGAGATTTCTAATTTCATAATAAATCGTCCCTTTTATTAATAAATCATCAAATCAATTAACAGTTTTTAATGATGTTAGAAATATATTTTAATTAACAATTTGGGTAATTTTATTATTGTATAGGAGAACAATTATAAATTTTATTTTTTTAGTTAATTCTGTTAAATAAAATTTTTTAACAAAGGATTGTCTGTAATTTTTCAAACCACACAAGATAATCTGTACTTTAAGCAAATCTTAGAGGATATATTTGTAATTTACCCTAATAAAAAATTCACTACAAAAATTAAAAGGTAAAAAATATATATATACAAAAAAATTAAAAATTATTTTTTCTTTTTGTTTTTTATACGTTTTTCATAATAAAAAAATTTTTAAAAATCATCTCAAATATTCTAGTTTTTTTTCTTTATTTTAACAAAAAAAGGTTTTAAAAAAATTATTAAATAATCTATTTCAGATTATTATATAATTAGTAATTAATGAGCTACTCCTAATAGTTAGGTTTGGATAAATCAATGCAAGTAAATAATCAAAGTAGTCTTTAATTGGTAATTACTAAAATAGGATTAAAAAAATAAAAATATATTCTCAAAAATCAAGTGCTTTTTATTTATCACTAAAATTGATCCTACATAAAAAAATATTACATACAATAGTTAGAAGAAAAAAAAAACATTTACTAAACCTAACACAACCAATGGGATTGTATGGTGTGACTTATTGGAGCGTCTCTCATACTTCATCAAATTCAAATTTGATAAAAAAAAATGCTTAAAACATGAGTTCTAACATTTTCATCAAACTGATATCAGATAGAAGGAGAGTTACTTTTTTTATCAAATCAATGGAGCTTTATCCTTTCATCAAATTTATAGGAGATAGTTGGATTGGACGTCCCTCCTGAACATTCTCTCAAACATCCTTTCGGACAACTTTTCATAAAGGTGTTGGTCAATTTACACAAACCGATCAACTGGATAGACATCCGCCTCTTAGTCGACCGATACTTTGATGAAAAATACAAATTATTCGTTAGAACACTCAATATCAAATGAAGTCTTTACTCAAATTTGATAGAAAAAAAATAGTAAACGTTGGAGATACTCTTATAAGTTGAAAATTGATAGTCATAAACCCTAAGTTAAAAGCCTCCTCTCTTCTACATAATCAGTTTTTTTTTCAGTTTATTTAAGTTATTTTTGCCCAATATGTTGTAAGCAAAAAGCTGCACAAAATAATTTAGCACATATTTATAAATTAAAATAAGTCATAATCAACTTATTTAAACTACAACAAACCAATCCAATGAAGGAGAAATAAACACTACTAGGGCCTAAATCAAGCCCAACAACCACTAAACACTACTATAAACAGTATCAAACTCCTCTACAAAGGAATTGAACTCGAAAATTCACACTACAAATTGGTGTTCTGCTACACAACCACTAAGCCTAATATTTTGATTCATTGAAATTAAACTAACTTTACTACACACTGTGACATCAATTTTTATGATGCAATACTAAAATCACTTGTTTTGTACCATAGTTGAACCCACAAACTAAAAGCATACTTTTCAATATGTCAATGAATAAAATTTTCAACTTATTTGAGTCAATTATGCTCTGAAAAGTGCTACAAAATACTCTTAGCACATGGAATCCCAAGTGCTTTCAAATTCGTAAGTCGCACACCAAATGGGTATCATAGTAGATTATGCTTACTGATGGATTTTGTTGTAAACAAGCAAAAAAAAAACCTCTTATATACAAGTCCAATTGTATCAGCCATTACACATAAGCCCAATCAAATAAGGGGTTATTATAATTATACATCATCAGCTCTTTCTGTCAATCAACTTTTATATTTGCAAGTGCATTCGCACTATGATTTGCCTCACAAAAAATACCCTTGATAAAGAAAAAAATGGTATCTTCAACACGTTGTTGCACTGATTAGCCTCACAAAAAATACCATTGATAAAAAAATAAAAAATAAAATGGTATTTTCACCAAGTTCTCCTTATAAATAGTTTTGGATGAGCACTTTCTTGGATTAGGTTCACAAGCAAAAAAAAAAAAAAACCTCTTATATACAAGTCCAATTGTATCAGCCATTACACATAAGCCGAATCAAATAAGGAGTTATTATACATGATCAGCTCTTTCTGTCAATCAACTTTTATATTTGCAAGTGCTTTCGCACTATGATTTGCCTCACAAAAAATACCATTGATAAAGAAAAAAATGGTATCTTCAACAAGTTGTTGCACTGATTGCCTCACAAAAAATACCATTGATAAAAAAAATAAAAAATAAAAAAAAAGAATGGTATTTTCACCAAGTTCTCCTTATTAGGGGTGAGCATGATTCGGATTGGAGGTAAAACCAGGACCAATCCATTATTTACGGTTCCTGAAAAATTTGAACCAATCCAATCCGTTTAAATCATGGAACCAATCCGAACCAATCCATTTAAACATGGATTGGATCTGTTTAGGACCACAGATTCACATAATTAAATAACAAAAAAATATATATATAACACTTTAATTTCATAAAAACATAAACATAGTGCTATATTAGTTCCACAATAGCAATATGTCTTTTTATAATAGCGACATACTGTTCTACAATTTAAACAACCATAAAAAAATTAGTTTCACCATAAATATTTAAACCATTACAAATTAAAACTAAAAACTAACAAACAAAAGTAATAAAAGAAGATATTATGCTGGTTTAGGTTTGAGTTTAGGTTTTATATGGAATAAGAGAAGATACAATGCGGAGGATGTATAATAAAAACATAGACTATTTGTATACGGTCCGGATCGGTTTCAATCCGGAACCGTGGAGTTCAATCCGAAACCAATCCGTGGACTACGGATTTTTAATTGTTCAATCCGGAACCGAACCATAGATTCAAAAAATCAATCCAAATCTATCGGATTGGACTGGACTGGATCGGATTACGGATTTCACGAATTCCTTATTCAGCCCTACTCCTTATAAATAGTTTTGGATGAGCACTTTCTTGGATTAGGTTCACACTATGTTCACCCTCTCTTTCAATTTCACAATCCACTCTAAGTGCAATCTTATCAGCTATTGACAATGATTTACTTTTGTTGGTTATTTTTATTCTCTGTTGTCTCTGTTGCTTAAAGAATGGGTACAGAAGCTTCCATGGGATGCTGACATTCATAGCTATGATACATAACAAAATTAATTTGGTGGGGTAGACATTGATCAAAATGTGGTGACAGTTTTATCAGATATGTTTGCCAAATGTGGCCATTATTTTTTTGGGATATTGGTGGCAAATATAAATAGCAGTGGATAGCGACTTATTAGTTAAGGATAAGAAAGAAGATAGATATGAAAGAAAATGAATTGAGAAAATTTGGATGGTGGAATGTGGTGATTGGTGCCGATTGTCTTGCAGTGCAACAGTGATTTGGTTGGAAGTGCAATAGTCAATATGTTTGTTTGTATAATATGATTGAAATTTCTAGGGGATAAGTAATCCCCTAATCCATTGGAATAATGATTCTCTTTGGCGTAGATTTTTGAACTGTTTTAGAGTTTTTTTTTTTTTTTTGACAATTTATGCTCACTTCTATTGAGGTTAAAAAAAATAATAATAAATTTTACGATTTTGACATAATTATATGAACCTCCATTTTAGTAAAATTAAGGAAATCAAAGCTAATACAGATGATATGAAAACACAAAGACACATAATGTAAAATATATATTTTAATGTAAAAAAAATGACAATATCATTTTTTTATTCATATGACTAACGAATTTTTTATGAAAATGGAATCAAATGTTATCTAAATTAAAACTCTTAAGTGTAATTACCAAACTTGTGAAACTTATTGTATTTTTTCTAAATTTCAAAAGAGGTCAGTGTAATTTATCCTCTTTTTTTATTTTTAGAATAAGTTTTTTGAATTAACTTCTATTTGTAACTCATGATGCAAAATTAACTTAAATAAATTGAAAAAAAAAAGATTATCTTAAAGAAGATGTACTCTTAGATCACGTCTGTTTGGCGGATTAGATTGGATGAAATTGTTAGTGAGATGATAGTTAGTGAAGAGATTGTTAGTAAAAGGATTAAGTAAAAGTGTATTTGTTTTGATGATAGTATGACAGATGGTTGGTGATGGAATTGTTAAATTATTTATATATAAAATAAATAAATAAATTATTTTTATATTAAAAAAACTAAAATAAATATTAAAACAAACAGGTGCACTTGGTTAAAAAAATAAAATTTTTATATAAAATAGA